GTCATGTGTGCATGTAGTTTTCATGGATTGTCTTTTCATACAGACTGTCTTCTGGGGGTTTGTTAGACTAGTCGGTTATTTATATACTTTTTGTCTATTTTATATACTTATGTCCAGGGGTGCACATAAGATTTTCGGTCTGGTTCTCATGAGACTACCTAGAGATTTGGTTTGGTGCTCACACTGCAAATAATGTGAGCCATTAGATATAACTATAAAAAAAGTAAAAAATAACAATTGCGCTTTATTTAATTAGGTTCTTTTTAAAATAAAATAATAGACAAAAAATAAATAAAGTATGATAATACCATTATAATTTAAAATAAAAAAAATAGTATTAAATAAAAATACAATAATTGTATAGTACACTTAAAAAAACTACAATGCTAATATTTCCATTTTCAACTTTTTCCTTTTTTACTTTCTTTTTTTTTAATGAATTTTTAACATTTCCAAACCTAAAATCAGCTCACTTTTATTTTGGCGGGTTGCCGGCAAGTATGCATTGCCGGTTTTAGCGCTGCTGACTGAAGCACGTCAGTGAATGAAATGTCACAGGTCACAGTTTTACGTTTTACGGTGATTGTGCATTAACAGCAGACAACCATGTAGGTGTGCAAATGAGCAGTCTGAACTTATTTACCACGTGCATTTTTAATTTTGGTCGCAACTGCACACCACTTATGTGCACCCCTGCTTATGCACATATAGAGTTAGTAACATAGTTACGGTTAGCAGCTTACAGTATAAAAAACTTAGACTTACAACTTACAGTATAATCGGAAAACAGATTTATCCTAAAGTCTGATGATGTGAGGACTCCTCATTATCAACATAACTGCACACCTTACACTTACGATTTCAGTATGACTAACTATATTTTCATTTTAGTTTGTCTACATAAATTTGTTCTTGGGGCACTTCTTAGAAATGTTTCCCATTAACAATGTTAGAATTTTCACCCTTCCAACCACAATAACCCACAGTTTAGCCAACCATAATCATGCTATTTTAATTTGCATACTGAACTGAATTAGTCATCTTTTTTACATTCATTGTTTTTTATTGTTTTATTAAATAATTTATTTTGAGGGGGGGGGGCAATCTACTTGGTTTGAAGGTGACTTCATGCATTGCTACACTATTGACAATAGACCTTTTTTGCCTGTGAAATTTCTCTAATGTAACTGCACCTTTACCAAGCAAGAGCTAGAATCTCTAGTTTTTTTGGGGTAGACTTTTTCTGACTTTGAACCAGTAATGAAACCAGTAAAAAAAAACAGTAACCTAAAATTACCCAGAACACCCTAGCAACCCGCTGATATACCACGCTGCAGCATATTATCTTTATAGATAAAAATGAACAAGACATAGTCCATAAAACAGATCTAAATCATAAAGCTTTCAGTGTGAAGCTCAAAGGAAGCACAACGAATATGAAAAATAAATTCCAGATGGATGTTATGGAAATCCCACAAACACATTGTTAGAGTATAATGGAGTTAGAATTATCAGTTAACCGCAGTAGCGGTTAGTATTTATCACCACTGTTATAAAACCGTTTTCTACAATGCAGATATTCTGCCAAGCCATTTCTGCAGTCTCTAAAATGAAACATTCTTATCTCAACGTTCAAATTAAAAACTCCAGTAGAGCTCCAACCCCTCCTCCATCAGAAACCTCCAGAGGACCAATCCTAGAACAGAGACATCTCCTCACTACCTCTGAGCTCTGCTGCCATCTCATTGAGTTAAAACATCCCCTTATCTGGGAGCTGGGAGAACTCCATGTGTCTGCTCAGACCAGAGAGGGGCTGGGCACAGCGTGTCCAGTTTGACACGTCTGAGGCAGGCTGCAGCACTCATCTGACAGGGCTGCATGCAGCAGACGCTGCACAGCTAATTAGAGAAGTGTTTATGAGAACAGCGAGGTAACGCTCTCACTCTGGGAGATAGAACGCAGGGTCAGTTCTGACACACTCCATCACTGCTTGGACTCGGAGGTACATGGAGAAAATGAGGAAGAGAGAGAGAGAGTGCAAGAAGAGAGCAAATTTTGTTTCTGGGCTTGTTGCAGAAGAAGCACTAGTGATGACAGACATCCTGTGTTTGTAAGACAGTGATGAGGCCAATTAGGAGCTTCAGCTGTTCAAGACTGGCTTCAAATTAAATATAGATGAATTAGGAGAACATGATTAAAGAAAATGACCAGTTGTATTCTGAAGATACAGACAAAAGGAATAATGAGATCAGTTTCAAGATCCAGTCATCTTATATAAGATTCAAAGAAAGACACAAATTTGGAAAAAGGAACTGTTTTAAATGGTTGTCCTGTTTCTGTCATTGGTTTCACAGTTAGAGGTCAAGCCAATCTACTGCAAAGGAAAAAAGGAGCTGGATTAAGGAAACTAATTTTCCAAAATTTGTATTGTAGATTGTTTTTTTTTTGTTTGCTTTTTGCCACAGAGTCTGAGTGTTTTAACTTTTTCAGGGAACTCTATTATTAATGTATAGTTGTCTCTGCATATTAAACTGGGATATGTTTCACCTGTATAAGTCATTATAATCAGTAATTATGTCCCCACTGGATGCAACAAATGCCTCGTTTGTAATGGGTTTTCATGTTTTTTGTTTTGTCGCTCCAGCCGGGACACGGCATCAACAGTATGGTGAGGTGGCCACAGGTGAGTGGTTAATCAGGTGTGCCGTCATGCGGTCGGATCACTTTTTTCTGTTGTCATTTTGTTCTGTTGTCTGTTATCATTGACATATTGTCAACGTCTAATTGTAATGTTTTATAATATTTTTATTAAAAACCGCAATAATAATAATAATAATAACAAAATTGTGGCAAAACATTACATTCAAATCAACTGATAACTTTGGAAAAAACAAATCACCCAATTTTAAATCCTGTTATTTCTGAGGAGAGTTGTACTTCATTAACCATCTAAAAGGTGTATATTAGTAATCAGGGGGTAATTTTCATTTTTGGGTGAACTAACCCTTTAATGCTGGCGTGACGTACCTCAATCAATATCACAACGTGTTCGTTCACCTTGTTTTTTTTTGTCACCTAATGGAGTTTGGGTTCCTTGCCACTGTTGCCTTTTTGCTTGCTTAGATGTGGTCTGAAAGACACTTAACTTTCAGAAATATATTAATATGACTGCACTGACACCATCTGATGAGAACAAAGCTTGAAGTGAATTAAGCTGGATGATGGCACAGCTGCCTTTTATAGAGCTGCTTTACAGCTGAAACGCATGTTGACTCGAGGTAAATAATGAACAATGCGGCCATTTGTAAAACTACTTATAACTGAATTGAACTTGTATCAAAATTGATCAAATTCAGACTGTTATATAGTGCTGCACAGTAATAGTTAAATGGTTAATTATTATAATTATTTTGCTAAAAAAAATATAACAAAACATTATTGCTCACAGATTCAGTCGCAGTAAACAGCACAAATGGGAAAAAAAACAAACACCTGGTTGAATTACACTTTTATTTGTGCAGAATATCTCAATAGAGATCACTCCAACTTACATGTTTGCTTGTGTGTTCAACTCATCAGCATTTTTTCCATAATGTAGAATGGAATTTAATGTAGAACACAACTTAATACAGTTGTCACTCCTGAAACTTTGCAGTGTACTTAGAATGAAAAATTTTACGTTTATTCCAATTGTGAATGGGTTATACACAGAAAGTGAGCAAATACCCTTCCTTATAATCAATGAAGCTGATATCTGTTCAGTTCAGCCACAGCACAAGCTCACTGACTGGGTGAAAACTCCCAATATAATCAAAAAATGTGTCTATACCGCAAAATGAATCTCTCATTTACATTGTGTTTATACTTTGTTGGTTATAGCAAAACTATTCTTGAGAGTGCAGAGATCAAGCTGAACGAACTCTGGCAATTCTGACTTACACGCCTCTGATTGGCCATTGTATTCACACACTCAACAAACATATCTGTGATTGGCTACAATGCTTAGCGCTGCAAAAACATCCCTTTGACGCTCTTCCCAGACCATCACACAAATACGGGAGTGTTTGAAAGCAGTCGCCTGTCAGCGGGTCGGTACTCCCGGTACTGTGGAAAAGCTGGAATCATTACGTTTTTAAAATGTAAGTATTGGTACCGAAGTACCATTACTTTTGAAAACACTAGTGACTAAAGACAAAAAAAAAAAAAACTACACTGGATACGGGGCAACGCGAGCAACAAATCTCAGATGCCCCATTCTATTTATGACATACTGACACAAAGGACAAATGATTCACTGTGAAGGTGCTTTGACACAATCCGTATTGTATAAAGCACTATAGAAATAAAGGTGACCTTAGAGTAGTAATATGTACCCTTAACATACTACTATGAACATTTCAGCTGTAAAAAATGGCACAAAGATGTCCTACTGAGGGCACTGGCCCAGTGACAAGTTGCTGTACCCCAAAGTTACATTCAATGGGACAGAGCTGTTTAAACTATTATGAATGATGTGTAGAAATCTACTGAGCTTTCTTCTGAGTTTTGTGAAACTTTTGCAGTTATTACAGAGAAAAGTCACTGTAACTCTTAAAAATCTTTAACTAAAACAGCTACAGTCCAGTGGAGCAACAGACCCACTGGAGTTTCCTTCCTCTCATGCATCTCTCTACCAACCATTTATGAAACATATATGATATTGATTTAGTCCATGTGTTTCCATACCTCCATCTCCCTGACGGTCTCTTTCTGATTCATATGTGGAATGCATTGTAGCGTGGTAGTGTGGTTTATGATGTGTTTGTACTCGGATATGGGGCACAAGAGGAACATCTATCTTCTTTTTCCTTTGTGCTAGTGTCTTTGTTTACCGTTCCGTGTATATTTGGCTCTCAGTGCTATTGAGGAACAGAAGCATTTCACCGGATCTATAATGTGTGTGCTCTGTCAATGTATTCTGCATAGTTGGTTGATGGGATTTCATTGTTTAGAGAGTTTACCTGGAGTTACAGCAGAGCAGAAGCATCTCTCTGTTGTTCATAAGGACCTGCAGAAGAACGAGGAAGGCCTTGGCACGGATGACTGAAGACGGACTCTCCAGAGAGCGGATTATCTTCATAACAAATTCCTGCAAAGAGGCGTTCAAGCCGTTAGAGGGCATGCATCATTTAAAAAGACCGGGAGGTCTCTGGACATTTAGTGTGGCATAAGTCCCAATTGCCTGGCAGTAATTTGACAGGTGCTATCACTTACACAGCGAGGTGCTGGAGGGGATGGAAAAGCCCCCCAAAATGCACTTGATATAAAACAAGAGGTTAAAATAAGATAATGAGTTCCACAGCATTTAGTGGGCAGCAAATCAGGAGGAATTGATTAACTTTCACTATCAGCATAATTGGGGGGGGACTGTCAAAAGCAAAACAATCCGAAACATTAGGATTAACTACAGCTCGAGAAGGGGAGTTAATTAATTTCAAACTCACCTACTGTACTCTAGGCATGGATTGTAATTACATCAACAGTATTCCAAGCTGCACTCCGAGATTGCGGCACTTCCTTACCCAATTAGCCCAGCCACTCTGCGCTTCATTGAAATTTAAATTCTATGCTAGACAATGTATGAATAAACACGCAGCGTTCTGGACTTCTATTCGTCAGGGGAATTAAGCAGAGAAATCCACAGCAGTTTATAAGTGGTCCTGAGGTGATCCAGGAAGTTTTAGGCACTCAAAAGATTGTTTTGTTTTTTTCTTCCCCCTCTAATATTCAGTCAAATTGGAAATTTACATGCAAATGAATACAGGTCAAAGAAAATTAGCATTGTACTGTACAGTGGCATTTCAATCAATTTCTACAGGCCATTTTCCAATTGATTACTGCCTCAGATAAAGAGCAAAGAGTCGTCGTACAATGTTTTGTTCATTCTTGACATGCTGCAAGGCCTGCATTGCTTCACGGGCTGCTGGCTACATCTAGGAGAAACATAGGTTTCAGCAAGTTTCTGAAAACTTTTGATACTTGGACATTTTTTTTAAGAATTGTATGGGTAAAGAACTGCTTGCAAAGATCATTTCTTATTAAGACTGGACATAATTGTTGAGGTAGCTTGATTAAATGTAGCTAAAATACACTACCACTCAAAGGTTTGGAGTTAGTAAGGTTTTATTTAAACAAACACTTTTATTCAGCAAGGGCACTTCAAATTGATCAAAGGTGACAGTAAAGACATTTATCATCTTACAAACGATTTGTATTTCAAATAAATGCTGTTATTTTGTATACCGTATTGGCACGAATATAAGACGACCCTGATTATAAGACGACCCCCCTTTTTCCAGATGTACATTTTGGAAAAAGGCTTTTTAAAAACCGAATCTTGTTTTTTCTCAGTAAAACACATTTTGTCTTCAATTATTTTCATATTGCATATTTTCCTATTTCATGGCACACTCGTTTTATGCGTATTTGGCGCCACCTATTGTTGTGGGTGTATTATTGACATGTCAAAGTCTAGACTCTGAATATAAGACGACCGTGTTTTTTCAGATGTATTTCCAAGAAAAAAAACATCGTCTTATATTCGGGTCAATACGGTACTTTATTTATCAAAACATTATGCAGCACAACTGTTCTCAACTTTGATAATAATAAAAAATGTTTCTTAAAGACAAAATCAACATATTAGAATGATTTATGAAGGATCATGCAAGACTGAAGACTTGAATAATGGCCACTGAATGAATGAATGAATAGTATTATATTAAATATATTAAAATAGTAATTTTAAATGTACAGTTTTTACTAGGGATGCACCGATACCACTTTTTCCAGTACTCGCCCGATACCGATTATCCTTCGGTTATTTTCACACTTAATTATGCCCATTAAAATGTATTTTACAAGTTTTTGTTACTTTCACGGTTAATTTTCTTGCTCTGTGGTACATCATCTTTAATTTAATAGCATTGGAGCTTCTCCATTGCAGCAGCTTAGTACTGTAAGTAATGCAGAAACGCTCATGAAGCAAGTAAAACATGCGCAACGCGTGCAGGTATTTGTACTGATGCAGAATAGTACAGCTAAGCGCATTTCACACAGGCTGCTAGATTCACTTTCGCCAGAAAATCGTGTACGATCTCAAAGTTGTTGACCGATGAAGTGCTGCCAGTACTAAGAACGATACAGGCTGTCAATAATGCAACGCAGAGAGAGAGATGGCACAGGATGTACAAAGTGTGTGTGCCAAACTGAAAGAAATCAAAAACTTATTGGCAGAACTTGTTAAAGAATAAATAAATACATATACAAATAAAAATGCTGCACTAGATGCAGCATTTCCTTCACATTGGACATTGAAATGCTAAACTCCTGGTGCACTGGCATCCCTGTTGGGAGGATTAATGTCAAACGTAAGGAAATTATCAGAATTGGACTCAGTAATGTACTGAATAGAACTGTAATGCCTAACGAGTTCAAACACTACCATAAAGTCTAATACATACTGGGCCAATCTATCGTAAGTCACATGCAGCAAAGGAGACTGGGGGCAATTGTAACACTCTAAATTTCATGTTTATATTATTTTATTTTTTTATACTATTACTATACTTTTTTTTTTATGTCCGATATATTGCAAACATGCATTCTATCTCAAGGTTGTTGGTTAAAAGCTACAAAATATGAATCATAGATGCCAACAGTGTTGCTGGTAACTACTATACAGGAAGCACAAAACACCACACTCTCAGGGCAATTGCACGGATGCTCCCCTGTTCCAAACTTAACTCAAACTTAATCTCACCTAAGATTTCACATGCTATAAATCGCTGTGTTCCACTGAATTGTACTGTACGCAACACAGCACACTTGTCCTTACAGCACCTGTTTCCCTACTGATATTCTTCTCAACTATTTTTAACACTCTCATTAAAAGTGAAAGCAAAGGGAGTGAATGTTTTTTGAATGCAAAAAAATAAGAACATGAGAGAAAATAAACACATCAATCATTAAGGTGCATGATTCTTTCACACCACCACTGTATTAATATTTAAATATATAAAAACATGTTTGTATATTTCTGATAACTATGAATTATGCAGCCACGTCAAATCCCAAAACCTCATCCTAAACATTGCCAAGACTGATAAATTATAGAATTATTTATTAAGACTGTACACACTTGGTTTACATGAAAACTTTAGAAAACCTGCTATAAACGTTTTGGGGAATGTTTGGTCTGGACACCGGCATCCTGATTACAAATATAAATATACTTGTACACGTATAGTTCATTTGAAAATGTTTATATACTGTAGATGTTTACTTCTAAAAAGTTTTTTTTTTTTGCAACTATTTTTGGAAAATCTAATTCCACCATGAAAAATAGACATGATTTTATTAAACATCCCATTTGGAAACCGTTTTTATATGCTGTACATACCCGGTCCTGTACCAGTCTGTGGGAATGTGCTCCTGATGCCAACATGGCAGCGAACATAGTGAGCATGTGTTGCTGGACACGGCTGATGCCTGACACCAGACAACTGAGGATGCTGGGTAATCCCACCTTGTCAATCACACTCTGGAAGGCCCCCGCAGATTGGCGTGTTATTTTACACAGAGCCTGGAAGGGCAGATAAAGGTAAGACAGGTGGGCTGAATACAGAATCTTCAATACTGCTGCTTTTTGTTACATAATATTTATTTATTTAGAGGAACATTAATATGTCATCAAAAGGTTATACATTTTTGATACCGCTGTAGAGATGAGGTTAAAAAAAAGGAAACAACTAACCAGTATCATGAAATATACATTTAAAAAACACATGCCCAAAAAATGATCATTCTTGTACAAAGCTATTGTAAAACACAAAACAAGTTTCATGAATATAGCCGCAAGTGACAATCAACGGGTGTGATAATGAATAATGCATTTGAACAATTAGATGACACAACTACCATGTATGTTTCCAATTTTTATGTGAGTTTACAACAATGTCAACAGTTTTGAATCTCCACTGATACTGTAAGTTAGTGTTCTTTACAGCTTACAAAAATAAATGCTAATTCCAAAAGAGACAACACGCTTCATAAAGGAAATCAGAAAATATGATTTCACAATGATGTAAAAGGTCCGGACATTTCTTTGAAAGTTAGGATTTCTTATCCTATCCTAAGATGGCTAAGATAAACAACATTACAACTGCAGCTTTCATCTGTCATTCACAATAACAAATAAGTGGCTGAACATAGAATTTGCTGTTAGTCCCCCTCGCAACAAGAAATCATGAAATGAAATCCATGCTTTCTGGGTTGTTATAGTTATAGGCCAATAAGTCACTATGGTCCAAACCAAACAATATTTTGGCCCATATTTGCTAAAAAAAAAAAAAAAAGATTCAAAATTGTTTTGATAACTTATGACAGGTTTTTAAATTGCAGTGCCCCAACTGAGCAAAACTGCACAAATTCACCTCAGAATGTCCTGAAGGGCAACTGGTCAAATTGGCCAACCCCCTCTCCAAAATTTCATTGACTTATATCTTCATAACACTTAGACAAAACTTAAATGGAACAGAATTTCAATTCTCGACTGTACAGTTGTGAAGACATGAAGGAAATCATTTATGGTCTTATTATAGCACCACCTAGGGTCAGACCAGGGCCTGACAATAAGAACTGCCCTAAAATACACCCAGGACAGTTGATGCAATTGTCACTGGCTCAATGGGACAAAAATAAATAAATACATACAAAATAAAATAAAATAAACAAAGATGATGAAAAAGTACATATTGGACCATTGCAGTTACACTTGATAACACTATATTGAGCAACTATAGACCAATATCAAATCTTCCTTTTTATATGCAAGATTATTGAAAAGGTAGTTTTTAATCAGCTGAACAACTACTTAAACTCAAATGGATACAAAATCTGGTTTCCAACCACATCACAGCACAGAGTCAGTGCTCATAAAGATAATAAATGATATTTGCTTAAATTCTGATTCTGGCAAAATATCAGTGCTGGTACTACTAGATCTCAGTGCTGCGTTTGACACTGTCGACATTAACATACTTCTAGAGAGACTGGAAAACTGGGTTGGGCTTTCTGGGATGGTCCTCAAATGGTTGAGGTCATACTTAGAAGGGGGAGGTTATTATGCGAGTATAGGAGATCATAAGTCTAAGTGGACGTCCATGACATGCGGAGTCCCACAAGGCTCAATTCTTGCGCCACTCTTGTTCAGCCTGTATATGCTTCCACTGAGTCAAATAATGAGAAAGAACCAAACTGATGATACCCAGGTTTACGTAGCCTTATCGCCAAATGACTACAGCCCCATTGACTCCCTCTGCCAATGCATTGATGAAATTAACAGTTGGATGTGCCAAAACTTTCTTCAGTTAAACAAAGAGAAAACTGAAGTCATTGCATTTGGAAACAAAGATGAAGTTCTCAAGGTGAACGCATTCCCTTGACTCTAGGGGTCAAACAACTAAAAATCAAGTCAGGAATCTTGGTGTGATTCTGGAGTCAAGCCTTAGTTTCAATAGTCATGTCAAAGCAATAACTAAATCAGCATACTATCATCTCAAAAACATTGCAAGAATTAAATGTTTTGTTTCCAGTGAAGACTTGGAGAAACTTGTTTATGCCTTTATCACCAGCAGGGTGGACTATTGTAGTGAACTCCTCACTGGCCTTCCCAAAAAGACCATTAGACAGCTGCAGCTCATCCGGAACACTGCTGGTACTGCAGACGTGAACTGTAATGTTTATGGTCTTTTCGGGCAGGTTAAGCGATATTAATCGCGAAGCTCAGTGTAGAGACTATACCACACTGCCGACAGTAATTGACCTAATAAAAACTATATTTCTGTACAGCATGTAATTATGCAGTAAAATATTACATATAATCTGGGATTATAAAAAAAAAAAACTGTACCATTCGACATATTGCTTGGAAGGACGGTATAAGTGCTTAGAAATATTTCACGTCTTTAATTCCATTCATTATTTGTAGCGTGCCTGCCATCCAATAATCACAGTAAGTTTTGTGCTTTGTTACTTTTAATTAGAAATAAAGTATCAGCTTACAAATTCTGTCAGTTTTATCACAAAATACAAACTATAAATGAGGTTTTTCAGCCACAGAAATACGTCAGTAAAACAATGTCACGTAAAGTCACATTTACCTCAGGAAAGACATTCATTGTACATAAACTCAATAGTCAGCTAGAAAGCCATCCAATAATCACAGTAAGTTTTGTGCTTTGTTACTTTTAATTAGAAATAAAGTATCAGCTTACAAATTCTGTCAGTTTTATCACAAAATACAAACTATAAATGAGGTTTTTCAGCCACAGAAATACGTCAGTAAAACAATGTCACGTAAAGTCACATTTACCTCAGGAAAGACATTCATTGTACATAAACTTGATAGTCCGCTATAAAAAAAATAACTCTAGAGAGAAGCATTGTATTACATTCATTATATTTTACTTAACCTGCTGCCTTCATTTTTAATGTTTGTTTGAAGAAATCTGTCATAGGAATGTGCAGGGAGACTTCAGATATTAAAAAAAATGTCTTGTTAGAAAATGTTTACTCAATAAAATCATGGCGCGGTGACTTCACTTGTTATGGATGTCTTGAGCAATTCAGTTTTATATTAGTAGTTGTAGCCATTGCAGTGTGAATGTCTCAGCCATCACTGCGGGAGAATGTGTCCGAGTGGACGCGCATTGTGGACTACGCCGGGCGTAGTTGCGCCTGATCGTAGTTTTAGTTGGTGCAACAGATGTAAATATTTATCATAAAGCTGGACGTTGCAAAGCCCAGCGTAGGGCTTACACCCAGCTTTTTTACGTCTAGCTGGTGCAACCGGCCCCAGGTCTGGTTTCCAGTTACATTTAGGATTGATTTTAAAGTATTATTGCTCCTTTATAAATCACTCAATGGTCTAGGACCTCAATACATTGCAGATATGCTCACTGAATATAAGCCTAATCGACCACTCGGATCATTAGGATCATATCAGTTAGAAATACCAAGGGTTCACTCAAAATAAAGTAGGGGTGCACCGATTGATCGGCTACCGATCGCTATCGGCCGATAATAGCTTGGGGAAGTTATAATACTCTATAAAAGCCGATCTCAAGCTGATGACACACCTGCTGTGAGAGGCTTGGCATGACATGCAGTGGCACAGTCTCGATCTCTGTCCGTAAAATAATTATTATGCTGATGGTGAGGTACAATTCATATTTCTTCAGTAAATAACTTTATGTGAGACGTTATTTCACAAACCTGTGCACAGTTCACACAGGAATTGCCACTTGCACAATCGAGACAGTGTCGCATCGTCACTAAAGTCGTTTAAACACGTCTATGAAAGATTGTATTACTGTACTGCGTAAAAACAGAATCACAATGCTCAAAAAGCATTTTCAGTAACAACGTTTGGATTTGAAATCAAAATGGATTAATGTTGTGTTTGTGGCAAACAGCCACGGATCAGTAGCGGACCTCTGTGTGAAAGCACAATGAGTCCGTGCTGCTTCTGCACTGCTTGTGTGGTGTACTGCATGATCAAACATTTAGGTGAGATAATTATATATTTTTGAAAAATGTAAAAAAAAATTCAAAAATGAAATTCAGGCCCTGAATGAATGTCTGTAAAAATCCTAACTGGAGCATCACTATAAATTATTCTACATGATAAAAAGAAGGCTTCAAAAAGATTGGTATCGGTGATTGTATCGGCAGATATTGCTTCCTGTGATCGACAATCAGTGATCGGCCCAAAAAATCCTGATCGGAGCACCCATAAAACAAAGGAAGTCCGCTTTTAGCTATCATGCCACCCGCAGTTGCAACCAGCTTCCAGAAGAGATCAGTAGCCATATTTCAGTAGCCATATTTAAATCCAGACTCAAAACACATCTGTTTAGTTGTGCTTTTACTGAATGAGCACTGTGCTACGTCCAAACTAAATGTACTGTATTTTATGTACCATCATTTTCTATTCTTAACTGTTTAAATTCATTTTTAAATCATTTTAAAATTAATTTTTTTATTGTTGTTGTGATTATTTTTATGCTTATTTTAATTAATTTTATGTAAATCACTTTGAATTACCATTGTGTATGAAATGTGCTATATAAATAAACTTGCTTTGCCTTGCACCAGAGATAGGGACTCGAGTTAGTGACTCGGACTCGAGTCGCATTTTTATAGACTTCAGACTTGACTCAGATTCGACCTGAAATGACTCAAGACTTGACTCGACTCGAGGAAAAGGACTTGTGAACATTTTAAAAGCAACTCTAGTCTTTTATCCTTAAATACTTATATAACTGATATTCAAAAGGCGGACAGCATCTGCACCCCAGCATCCATCCGGACCGCGAGCCGTAACACAGCACCATTTTAAGTGAGCAGCGCGTCAAAACAGCGCAGCGGATCACATAACAAGCACTCAGTGTCTTTTATGGTAAATATCTTTCAGTGCTATATCCTCTAGTATTTTTATCAAAAGCCAAACGCGCTTTCTTCAAGCCCTTTCAGCTCCGTGCGCTTTCTCTCTCTCTCCAGACGCGCGCCAGCGCCAAGTTTAAGAGCTACGGATGACGCGGTTATTTTAACAACAACAGAAACAACAAAACACAGCAGAAAACAACAATGGTGAAAATATAGTTATTTTTCATACTATCTATTTATCTATCTATAACCTATGACTCTAAGTGTTCAACCCAGATGTGACAAGACGTTTATCTACATTTAGCATTATTAATCTGTAGGCTAAGAACATTTCAAAAGAATCATGTAGGCTAATTATAATTGGGAAAATTGTTGTTAGATGGCTAGGATAGAACTTAAACTTTGAAATTGCTAGTTATCTTTCTTCTCTGCTCAAGATGAGAATGTTTTGATTATTGTAGCTACATGGTTTTAAGATAATGCTTTTAAGTAGGCTAAAATATTAAAATAGTATAGATTTCAGGAGGAAAACCCTGAACAGAAACATTGTTTTTTCAGTCACATGGCCTTGCATGTATCTAAATGTAAAAATGCAATCCATGTAAAAAAAATAAATAAAAATTTCGGACCTCTGCTTGGAAGAAAATATGCCGCGCCTTGGAACTTTAATTGAATACCCCTGACTTATATAATAAAGAAATACTTTATTTGTATGGTTTTGTAATATCTGTGTCACATATTTCCTTGTGTGTCATGGTAGATCGGACTCTTATTATAGAATTTCATTACAGAAAAACTGTTTTGAACATGGCAATGGATTAAAACATAGCCTATAAATAACAAGCTGGATGTACAATAACCTTACATCTTTTTTTTTACATAGCAGATTATAGAATATATAGCCTATAGCCTACGTCTATAGCCTATAAAACAGCTTCGTAAATAGGAAGATTTCAATACATGAGGATTTTGAATGAGATTTTTTTTAGCAAGCCACTAAATGACTTGAGACTCGACTCGGACTTGTGGCCAAAGACTCGAGACTTGACTCAGACTCCAGCGATAAAGACTTCAGACTTGACTCGGACTCCAAGTTAAAGACTTGTGAACATCTCTGCCTTGCACTGCAACTTCTGTAATCTACTCCCTGAATGGAAGTTGAATTGAGCAGTACGCACAGCTGAACTTTGTGTTGAAACACCCTGTTAAAATGATGAGAATCATGTGTGTTTAATACTCACAGATATAGCGCTGACCCTGAGTGCATCCACTGTGGAGTGTGTGAACAGATACCAGAGTGCAGGTCCCACCTCTGCAGTGATGAATCCCTGGGCGTATTGAGACTCACGGCTGCACACGTTCTCTATGGTTTTGGCAGCCATGTGGTTCACCACCAACTCTTCCTGAGAAACAAGAAGAGAGAGAGAGAGAGAGAGATACACTTTACTATAAAGTCAGTTTAGTTAATGAATTAATAATACATCTGAACAATTCATTTAAATCTTTGTTAACAACTGTTCATTATTAGTTCATGTTAACTCAGGACCATTAAATAATATTAACAGATACAACTTATGCAGAGGTGGACCGTAATGAAGTTCATTTACTTGAGTACTGTACTTAAGTACACTTTTTGAGTATCTGTACTTTACTTGATTTTTTTTTTCTGGAAACTTGCTACTTCAACTTCACTACATTTGAAAGACAAATATCGTACTTTTTACTCCGCTACATTCATATCAAGGTCCCCAAGTAGAAAATCCGGCCTGCGATCTACCAGGACCTTCCAGTGTTGCCAAGTCTTACAATATTTCTAAGCCTGCAGTTTTCCACCTAGCTTTGAATGGATGTTTGGTTGATTTTTTTACGCAAATCTGGCAACCTCGGGACCTTCCCCGCTAAACTAATGTAAACGTCTGCACTACTGCACAGCTAAAAGTGCTCTAAAAAGGCAAATAAGTTAATAAAAGACGAAAAAGGCACATATGTATAGTGTGGTGTGATCATATGTGTGTTCACCACATTGATTTTAAATAGACAACTGTATGTGATGCCTTACGTAGGCCGAGCACTACGATCAAAGATCATAGAAGATAAATGATCGGCATTCGGTACATAAAAATCTGGCAACCTCAGGACCTTCCCCGCTAAACTAATGTAAACGTCTGCACTACTGCACAGCTAAAAGTGCTCTAAAAAGGCAAATAAGTTAATAAAAGACGAAAAAGGCACATATGTATAGTGTGGTGTGATCATATGTGTGTTCACCACATTGATTTTAAATAGACAACTGTATGTGATGCCTTACGTAGGCCGAGCACTACGATCAAAGATCATAGAAGATAAATGATCGGCATTCGGTACATAAAAATTACCTACACCTTGATCTACATGACAGAGAAAATGTATAGTTTTTATTCTGTGTGAACTCGCATGTGTATGTGAACTCATTAAATTAACCATGTTTTTACTATAGTAACTAGTTTAACTATGGTATTTGAGGTAAAATCCCAGTATCCACAAATTTACTATTCCCTCACTATAGTAACCATAATTATGCTATTTGTAGTAAAACTACAGTAACCACAAATTTAACATAGTTTCATTATAGTAACTATAGTTTAATATTTGTAGTTAAACTATGGCAATACAAATGGTAGGCTAATATATCCGTCAAAAATGGCTGCTATTACCATATATAAAAAACCTTACTACTCAGGCCTACTGGTAAATTGCTGCTAAAAATTGGTCAAGGAAGTATATAAATCTGAACATTATTTTATTGTCAAAACACTGCACATACATATATATATTTTTGCAAATAAATGATCAATAAGTAGGTTAAATGATCACGCAGGTCAAAATGTTTTACTTCACTTTTTTTACAACTTTGGAATCTAAACTGGGAATCGATAAGAATTGAAATCAATAAGCAGAATCAGACTTGGAATAGATCAAATTAAAACAATACCAAACCCTAGCCACATTTTATGTGGCTAAATTCAAAATTAGTTGTTTTTGCAGTTGATAGCAAAATTCAAAAAGTCACAACATAATGTTCTTTTTAGCAACGTCATATGACCCCTTTAATTCCAAAGATAATACAACCTAATCAGTGTATTCAGTAGGTTGCATTAGTGGCATAAGGTATAGTAAGTATACAACAATGTGACAATAAAACAATGCATTTACTTTTTACTTTTGATGCTCAAGTAAAAACCTGTCTTTACAACGTTCACTTGTAGTGGAGTAGTATTTGACCAGTAGTATCTGTACTTTCACTCAAGTAATGCAGTTGTGTACTTTGTCCGCCTCTGAACTTATGATTATTTTTATGTTGAAATTAACATTCACTACACTGAAAACAAAATAGTGTGGGATTTAGTTTGAAACAATTTCTGCTAAGAAATTACTTTTAAGAAATTGCTAATAAATACAAAATAATGGCAAGTAACACTGAATGAAACATGAAATTTAAAAGCAGAAAGACTGAAATGGTATTTTCTTGTAAAATACATCCAATAATCTAATCAACTTTGTAATGTTTAAATCAAAATATAATAAACTTGCTCCACCTCAAAAACAAATTTTAGTTGATGTTACCAGGACCTCCTAGTTTTCAACTATTTCCCTGTATCCACCTTCACCATTCTATTATGTAACACCCACTTTTCAAGATCCAAACAATTCCCCATGGCTAAAATCAAGCTCCATAAACATCAGATTACATAAGTAAAGTATATTGGGTTACTAAGAGCATTTCATGCAGACTTTAAACGCAATTGTACTCTGAAAAACTTTAAGCATTACACTCAAAGACATGCGTTCATGAATTCATTTCTAAGTGGGACACACAGACCTTTACGAATTTCACGCAATTACATCATGACCTAATAGTCCCTCAACACCCTCCAAACTTGAGTGAAATAATTTCCTTAAATTTCACACCACAGCGAATCTCGCTCAGAGATAACGAACGCTGGCTGTGTTTTTATGTATTCGGACCCCTGTCCTTGAGCGTGTCTCACTGCAACCGTATCTGGTGGAAATTAAACATTTAACAGCATTCAACAAACGGCAAGCATGCAGAGTCGAGTGAGGAAAATAGCAAATGGAGAGGTTGGGCATATCTTAGAGGCGCAGTTACACTGTGCACTGCTGCTATGCAATATGGATGCCGTCACTGTAATGTAGTTCCTAGACCCCCGTCTCAAAGTTAAAAGAAAGTTCAGCTTAGTCCATGGAAGAGGTGCATTAATACACATACTGTATCTTGGAGGCAAAAAGTAGAAAGAACTCTCAAGTAGAATATTCTGACGCAACACAAATAACAGCAGCTACTCCAGAGTCCCTGGGCCTATCGTATCTCTTTGTGCTGGAGTCTGGTGGTCTGGCTTCGTGGAGGCTTTAGGTAATGAACTAGAGCTGGCACTCGCTAGAGCAGGGGAAATGACTGACAGCTGCTACAGGGTGCAAGAGGTGGGGAGGAGGGGGGTGCTGAGCGCTTTCTTTTTTTCTTGTAGCACAAGCCTTGTCAAAAGGCATAGAAAATGAAACTAAAATCCACCAGCCAGAGGTTTCTCAATAAGAATTTAAATTCCACAGGACAAATACGCTCCGTTGTAGGCGAGTTTGTGCTTTTTCAAATGTACACAGCTAGTCTATTTCCACTGAGGTCTGAGTAAGATGCTTTAGGGATCATCTGACTGCAGTCGAGGGGAGAGTGTTTTGTAGACTGCCCTGACTAGATGGACTACAAATTACCCACAACTAAATAGAGCACATTTCTCATCTGTTTTTCATCCATTTTCAAATAAACAACTCCTGTTTTAATTGTTTTTTCGAGTTCAAATTCTCGCATGTGTTTTCATGACAGAAAGTGGTTTGGGGACCGTGTAAAGTCATTGGGTGACAGTTGCTGTCAGCTCGTGTAGTGTGTGACCCCCTGTTGTGGATCATTTACGTAGTGTTATGTAGTGTGAACACCACAATGACTTCAAGACAGACAGCAAGTCATGTAGTCTGAACAGCACAGCGATCTGCCGACATTTAAAGTCGTGTAGTGTGAACTTGGCTTGACCAGCCAAGGCTCCAGACTGGGGAGTCATTACCTATTTTTGTGCACATTTTGGGATATCGCTAAAAAAATGCTGGATGGAAATGCCAAGATGCATAAAAATTCTAAAATGTGTAAAACTGAGTCAGATCATTTGAGTCAGATCATTTGTTCATCCAATAAGAAGAGATGTGAATATGATGGAAGTACAGCATAAAGGTAAGTTTGTCTGAATTAATGAATGAAACGCTCATTTTAAAATCTTCCTGGTCTAACGACATTTGTTATGATTTCAGCTTCGAACATTACAATGCACATGATAACTTTCGTTAACTTTAGTAAATCCCACATCGACTTCAAGTCATGTAGTCTGAACAGCACAGCGATCTGCCGACATTTAAAGTCGTGTAGTGTGAACTTGGCTTGACCAGCCAAGGCTCCAGACTGGGGAGTCATTACCTATTTTTGTGCACATTTTGGGATATCGCTAAAAAAATGCTGGATGGAAATGCCAAGATGCATAAAAATTCTAAAATGTGTAAAACTGAGTCAGATCATTTGAGTCAGATCATTTGTTCATCCAATAAGAAGAGATGTGAATATGATGGAAGTACAGCATAAAGGTAAGTTTGTCTGAATTAATGAATGAAACGCTCATTTTAAAATCTTCCTGGTCTAACGACATTTGTTATGATTTCAGCTTCGAACATTACAATGCACATGATAACTTTCGTTAACTTTAGTAAATCCACTTCACCAGCTAATTACTCTTCAACAGTGATGCTATAGAGCCACCGTAAAAAGCAAAGTTCAAATACTAAACTCTAAAGATGGCTCCACACCTGTTTCTCTGATGCATAAGGTCTATAATCACCTCCCATAACTGTCTCATATGATTGTGTTCCCAAACATCAGGCATCCTAACACAAGATAACATGACAGCGCTTACTATTACATTTTGTCTGCGTGCTCTTCTTTTATTATAGAGGAGAAAAGAGCCACAGGCTTCCCTGGTTGCAGCAACTTCTATTTTTATTATTATTACTTTGTGCTAGTTTCCCAGGAAGTGAACATTTTATATATCTTTATAAATTGAAGAATCACTCAATAACAACTGATTGATGAACAGGCATTTTACCACATAGAGTATGACTCTGACGATTTAAGTTATGCTAAACTAGGATGTTTTCTTGTTGCACTTGTTGCTCCGACCTAAAGCATACAGTACCATCAGATTAACGATTCCTGATTCATTTTGAATTCGACATAACTGAAAATGAATCACAGTACAGTCAAGAAGTCAAGCAGGAACTCAGTAATGAGCAACTCAGTCCTGAGTCCAACCAT